AACTAAATTTCCAGATTCATTCTAATTTGGTTAAGACTTGGTTTTGAAACAAAAATTGTACTGGTGGGTGAGTTGTCTGAAGAACAAGACAGAGTGGTTCTTTTGTTTCTCTTAGATTTCACAACAGCTGTAAATAGCCCATTGACTGCAGTATCTTTCTAGATAGGCTGTCTGAGTAGAGAATGTGGAGATATTGCATTGTAGAGGTTCCTGTCTTGCTTGGTTTTATTTATGTATTTATTTTTATTTGCCTTTCTCCTAAATATAAACAAAGGCAGCTCACAACATTATTAAAAGAAAGTACTGAACATGGTGGTGCAGCGTGTTAAACCACTGAGCTTCTGAACTTGCTGACTGAAAGGTTGGTGGTTCAAATCCAGGGAGCAAGGAGCTCCCGCTGTTAGCCCCAGCTTCTGCCAACCTAGCAGTTTGAAAACATACAAATGTGAGTAGATCAATAGGTACCGTTCCTGTTGGAAGGTAACGGCGCTCCATGCAGTCATGCTGGCCACATGATTTTGGAGGTGTCAATGGACAATGCCAGCTCTTCGGCGTAGAAATGGAGATGAGCACCGCCCCACATAGTCGGACACCACTAGACTTAATGTCAGGGGAAACATTTACCTTTATGTTTTACTGTACATGAATTAAAAATCAGTCATAAAAAAGTTCAAAATAGTTTAGTTGCCATGTAAAAACATCACTACTTAAAACAATAAAGGCTGTGAATCATTTTTGGAGTACTGGAATTCCAAAATTCAGTACTCCAAAATTGTTTAGGTGGATATCTGTATTAGCAACAATGTACACACTTTGTTGCTAATACAGATATTAAATTAATTTTAAAATTATTAAAAATACGGTATCAAATTACCCATCAGTTATGTGTATAAGAAATATATAGAATATAAATGAGGCTGTTGCAGAAAGCTTCACAGCTTGGGAGCCACTACTGAGAAGTCTCTTCCCCCAAATTTGCACATGTGTTTTCTGAGGATAGTGGGAAAGTCCTCCCCCAAGGATCTTAAAGATTAGTCAAGTACAGTCTTGGATGGTTGCAAGAATATAAGAGTAGCAACACTGTTTCAGATCAAAAGCTGCATTCTGTTTTGGTAGACTGAAGCAGAGAACAAAAAGCAGAACATGAAGTTCCCTAACACTTGTGTTCCTTCATAATTGCTATATAGAAGCACATTACAGCCTAGTACTGGAGTCTTTTTCTCCATTCAGTGTGCTGGGATTTTATTTCTTTGCCTAGTAGTAGCTGTACAACAGAATTCCTCAGGCTCCATCAGTTTCCTAGGCTTTATAACAAATTAGAAAAAGTTGCCGAGAGTTGTGGGTTGCAGTGTCTCACCAGTATGTGGGTGACACCATTGTATGTCTTCCGTTTATCTAAGAGCAGTGAACCTTTTTGTTATTTTGAACAAGTTTTTGTATAGGGGAAAGGACCCAAGTGTTGTCCAGTACATTGAGAATCAACAGAGATAGATGCTCTGTTTGTTGATAGCTTGTCTATCTTGCTAAATGTCATTCTGTTCCATTTTTCCCTATTGGGGGTTGCACTTCCTAAAAGAGCAAGTCTGTTGTTTGATAATATGCTTGAGTTCACTGTTGTCATAGGTGAATGCATTGAATGAGAGCATGTTTTATCAGTTTAAGCTGGTGATATCACCAATGAGCCAGCCTGGACAGAGATAGCTTTGCAATATTTCTTTGTTTTCTCTGTGGTGTTATCAGTGTTTTCACCACTAGCTTCCTTGTATTTAAGAAATCTTTAAACATTTTAGCTCTTTGTAATATTCAGTTTTGTGACTTTGATTTTATTGTATGTTGAAAAAAGTCTATGCTATAGGTTGTATTTCATGCTTTTTTAAATTTTGGTTTTGTATATATTTTTTAAATTATCTATTTAGTCAGATTTGTCAATATAGTGTTACTCAGAGCATTCCTATTATTAGGTCATCTAAAAGTGTTACACATAATTTTAAAGTGTATTGTGTATGTGTGTATATATATATATATCTCCCTACAAATGAGTTGACAAAACACAGGTGATTCACATTACATGTCATTTACATTTCCACATTACCAAAATACTTACATTGAAGTCAAGATGGAGAATCTTTTTAAACAAAGGGGTTTTTTCATGTAAGGAGCAACTTGAGAAACGGCAAGTTTCTGGTGTGAAGAGAATTGGCCATCTGCAAGTATGTTGCCCAGGGGACGCATGGATGTTTTAACATCCTGTGGGAGGCTTCTCTCGTGTCCCCTCATGAGAAGCTGGAGCTGACAGATGGGAGCTCACCTTGCTCTCTGGATTTGAACTGCTGACCTTTCGGTCAGCAGTCTTGCCAGCACAAGGGTTTAACCCATTGTGCCACCAGGATCTCCAACAAAAAGGCTTAACAGTTCTCAGAGGTTGCATGCCAGAAGTGGATGTGGCCAAAGGCAAATGGGCAAGAACAAAAATATGAGCATATTTTAGCGTAAAGCTCTTACTGCCAGTAATTAATTCTTGAGAAAAGTATTTTCATTTTTGGAATGAAAAAAAAGTGTCCAAATTCCAATGCGAAAAGAAAAGGGGTGTTGTCACTTAGGGCAGAGGTGTCAAGATTGTGGCCCTCAGATCACCTCAAATCTTTGGAGATAGCTATCATACCACTTTCTTTCCTAGGACTGGGTCTTCAGTTTACTCACTGTTTTCAAGTTCTATAGAAAATACATTGCTTCATGTCATCTTTAAAGGATGCCATCAAGTACTGCAAGTGATATCTAACCAAAGCAGAATAGAGTGCCCTTGTTAATTCTCATGATCTTGACATGACATTTTGTATTTTATTGTCTATATTTCTTGGTCTCCGGTACAATATACTGCTTTGTCTTTTTGGAATCTGGCTAGTATGGCTATTGATCTGTAAGCTCTTTACAGTGATAAAGATGGAGGTGGATGGGTAGCTCCACCCGTATGGAAAATGAGATTACAAGGGAACGGTAGGTGTGTCTCACTACCATTTCTGCCAGAGAGCAGAGGGTATACCCAGCAAATGATTGAGTTGTGCCCTTTGTTTCTTTTAATCCTTGTTGAATTCCTCAGAGATACCATCTGATACCCTTTTTAGAAGTGTATTTGGAACTATGCATTTTTTGCATAGTTCAGTGAAGTCTTTTATTGGGCTTGGCATCCAGACATGAAAGTAACCTAGTCCTCATATCCTCATAAATGTGTGATTTCATTTGTGTGTTTGAGTGGAGTAGGAAAAATGGAAAACAGGACATATTTTTTCTGAACTTTCTGCTCTTTGGAGCAAGAACGATTTATTGGGTAGTTTCCCATCTCCTTAAAAATGAGATCTACATAAGCAATAACAAGAGGTGAAAAAGGGACTTCTTCCTGCATTTCCACATCAGGATTTACTGAGAAACAATGTATCTCTCCTGAAAGGAAGATAATGCAGAAATAATTGAAGAAGAAAAAATACAGGAATAGAAATGAATAGGATAGAGCATCTCTTATTGACCACTATTCATACTTTTCTCCCCAGTTTTTGCTGGAATATGCTTGCCTTTTTGGCCTGATAATCCAAAAAGAGTTGGGAATTAATGACCAGATCATAGGTAATCTTAATCTTTGTCAAGCTTTATGTTAGTAAGGTATTAATGGTTTCCATTGAAAAAGCTAGATTACATATTTGTACCAATGTCATTGTTTTAATGCAATATCTTCCAAATATACTGTAGTTCTCTACATGGCATATGTTTGCTGATAAAAAATGGTCTCTGCTCACACCAAGAAGTGTATTTCTGTAGATTGGTTTTTCCTCTATCAGCAAATGTTAACATTAGTTTTGGGGTTTTTTTGAAGCAGTTGTAAACAACCTTCAGTCTAATGTTAGTTTTTGTAGTTCAGTTTATGTCTCAAGACATAACTTGCAGTCTTTTCATCAATGAGTGATTAGAAAAATAGTGCATCTGCTAAATCACTTGCATCCTGTATATTTTCTTGTCATAATAATATAATGTTTTTATATAGCCTTGCATGGTGCTATTTCATTTGGAACTTAATTATGTCCTTTGCAGACAATCTTGTATCATAGCTCCATTGTAAATGATTCTTTCTGTCCCATTTCAATCTATTGTTTTTCTTATTTTCATTGAACTCCAAAGGACACACAAGTATGTTTAACACTCACCTTAAGACTTGCCTGTCTGGTTTTGTCTGAGAACCTAACTAGATTTCACAGTTTGAAAACATGCAAATGTAGGTAGATCAATAGGTACCACTTCTGCGGTAAGGTAACAGCACTTCATGCAGTCATGCTGGCCACATGACCTTGGAGGTGTCTACAGACAACGCCGACTCTTCAGCTTAGAAATTGAGGTGAACACCACCCCCCAGAGTCGGGCACGACTAGATTTAATGTCTGGGGAAAACTTTACTTTTTAAAGTTGTTGCCCAGGGGATGCCCTGATGTTTTACCTTTCTGTGGGAGACTTCTCTCATGTCCCCGCGTGAGAAGCTGGAGCTAATAGGCGGGAGCTCACCCCACTCCTGAGATTCGAAAAACTGACCTTTTGGTCTGCAGTCCTGCTGGCACAAGGGTTTAATCCAGTGGTTCTCAACCTGGGGTCCCCAGATGTTTTTGGCCTACAACTCCCAGAAATCCCAGCTAGTTTACTAGCTATTAGGATTTCTGGGAGTTGAAGACCAAAAACATCTGGGGACCCCAGGTTGAGAACCACTGGTTTAATCCATTGTACCACCAGGGGCTCCTTGTACAGTGAAAAGGACATATAAAATGTTCCTCCTTCTCTGTACATATTCCCTCATATCTGCACGTGGCAAGAGGTCTTGGGTGACTGCCTGTTGGTGATGCTACAATTTGAACATACAGGTTTTTGTTTTGTTTCATTTAGCACATTTAGCGTACAATATACTTACGTTGTGGACCTGGATTTTCTTCATTGCTTATGAATATTTAATCCTTTTTTCTTCACAGGGCAAACTCTCTGACCAGGCCTGCAACTATCCAGAGGGTTTAGGAGAAGTGCTTTATCGAGAACAGTTCGACTTCAACGCGGAGCCACCTTGGGAACCTAGCTGATGATAGTAGGGTTCCATCTCCTAACTTGTCCATGTAAGTCTTGTATATTTGGTTAGGTCTGAATTTACCAATTTATTTAAGCCACGGCAAACTTCATATATAGGAGTCTTTTTGTCACTTAGTCAATTCTCCCTTCTAAAATTTGCTCTTTTTTTTGATTCATCAAAATGTGGCATTTATTTCAACATCAGTAGTGGTTTCTACTCTTCTATTACTCATATCATTTCTCTGGATCATAATATATTTTCCCATAAATCCCCCATGTTCTCTAGTAACGTAAATTAGTGTGCTAATTGAAAGGTAATGACAGCTTAGAAGAGATTCAAATCGAATTTATATGTTATGTGTAAATATCCAATCACTTGTACTTCACTTTCAGAGCAGAGTGTCCAAAGCATGTCTCTGTTAGCTAGTTGCTTTTACAAACAGTTGTTTTTTATTTTACTATTGAATACTAGTGCATTCTTTGTTTATAAAGGTATGTGTGAGTTAAACTGTGTGTCCCTAAACTAAAATTATAGTGAGAGAGAAGCTGGACTTCCTACTGTATTTCATTAGGGTTATCACAGCAGGAAATCAGATTTAGCAGACTTGGCCTCTTACCAGATGACTGTCATGATGTATTTGAAGCATTCTTTTTTGTGTTTTTGAATAATGTGGATTAAAACCTTATGATACAAAGCTGAGTTGTTGGAGCATGTTTTTGTAAGTAGTATATGCTGTTATGAAAACATAGGATATATGAATACTAGGTTGCATTTGTATACAAATCTAACTAAAGCTGCCTCAAGCAATTCTTTTGATGTATTACTGATAAAGAGAATAAACAGCTCTAATTTGAATTTGTCAAAGTTAAAGGTATGCAGGTTGAACAGGAAATTAGTAATTTCTGTCAGTAATATTTTGATTAAAGATTGTAGATAAGTATGCTGAATTTTTGCTGACTTGTAAAATATTTGCAACTTAGAAAATCTTATATGAAAGTCTATTATGAAGTGACCAGGACATATTTTAGCCATTTGGGACAGTTTTGGAATATGCTGCTATTACACAAATTCAGAAGTGCTGGAATGTGTGGTCTGAATCATTTTGCTACTCCTAACTGAAATGGATTCACTCATCCAATTGAACCTATCTAACTGTTGGTAAATTAGTATTGAATCTGCAGGCTTTCTCTTGTTGGGATTAACAGTTGGGTTTCTAGGCCCCAGAGTGACTGAATTTTTAATATGAGTTGACCTATATCTATGGCAAATTTTCTTGTGTCCCAAAGATCAGTTCCATGTCTATGCCCATTAGTTATAAATGCTGATAGTCAGTGGCTAAGGGGTGGCAAGAATCCTTTGACCTAAGCAAATCATTAACTAGGAAACAGCAAGGGAGGGGAAAAAATAAAAATCATCAAATGAAAAAGTAACTACGATAATAATAATTTGAAAAATACAATGTAGAATACGGGACAACCTAAAGGAAATTAAATGTGATTAGTAACTGACACACAGTATGGACCCCTTAGCTACAGATTTGATATTCACAATTTCATTTGCCACTGCTTAAAAAATATCCCCACAGAAGTGTTTTGTGGGCGTCTGGGTTCTGCAGTAGCCCCCCCCCTTCCCCCCAGTGATGCAGCAGGTTAAACCACTGAGCTTCTGAACTTGATGACTGAAAGGTCGCATGTTCGAATCTGGGGAGTGGGGTGAGCTCCTGCTGTTAGCCCCAGCTTCTGCCCACCTACCAGTTTTAAAACATGCTGGCCACATGACCTTGGAGGTTTCTAAATACAATGTAGATGAGCATCACCCTCCAGAGTTGGAGATGACAAGACTTAATGTCTAGAAATGGAGATGAACACCACCCTCCAGAGTCGGACATGACTAGACTTAATGTCAAGGAAAACATTTACTTTTTTAGGCGCCTCCAGTCCAATTCTGTGGTGTATTTCCAGCTCAAATGTTGTCAAAATATAGAGTCCACTAATAGCCGTGGTTTCATAGAGGAGTCTAAAATATGTCTCCTGTGGATATGGGATCATACTGTATGGAATAATATACTATCAAACTTCATAGCAATACAAAGCATAGCACCAAGTATTGGGATGTGTTTTGCCATTGAGCTTTTTGTTTTTTTACATCTCTTCCTTTGCTATAATGTATAAGATTAAGCTATGTTTAATTGCCGATAGGTTTTATTTGGTCTGTGTTCTTTGTGTTAAATTGTCCTTCTTATACATATTTGTAATTACAGAGTTTTGTGTTATTCTACTTTGTATTAGTTTTGAAGTTTGGTAGTGTTTGTATTCTATAGACTATCTTACGGGTCCATGGACCACCATTAGGGGTAATGCCTTGTTTAGTTATTCTGGATCTGAACTACAGCATTCTTTAAACTTTAATCTGACAAGCTTTTCTTATGATCCAGTTTTCAAAGGTCATATTGAAATAAAACCTTGAACAATCCTTGGTCTAATTAAAAATTTGCTTGTTGCAGCTAGCCAAGCTAGGGCCATACTGAGTATATAAATTTGCTACATAGTAGCTCCATATGATTAAGTTGTTTAGTATTCCGTTGCCAGAGGTGACCTCTTGTCCAAATAAGTTGATATTCCTTTAGAGTTGAATGCATTTTCAAATTTGTCTGAACAAGTTGTAACCATTGGTAACCATTTGCCTTACGATGTTTGCTCACGTGGGCATAACATGCAGTTTCTCTAAATATTTGTTGTGTAGTGCTAAGTGTTCTATCTTTCATTTAGCAAAAGAGATTTGTTCTCCATGTATCATATACAAATATTTTGAATTAGTCATCACTAGTAAATTAAACTTTGATGAAGCAGTTTCATACAAATGTTCAAATGTTCAGCAGCAAGCATATTTGCATCTTGGGTGTGCCTAGGCTTGAAGAGACTCAACAAGCCCGGATTTTGTATGTGTGTGTATTAGCTGACTAATGGATGCCCTAAAGTTCTACTATAAATGATTTATTGAGGAAAAAGTCAATTAAACATAATGAGTTTAGTTGGAACAGAGTATTAATTAAAGTTGGCTTGTCTGAGTGTATGTTTAAATTTCCATTAAAACCATCCCTGTCTCCACCTTTAGTTGAGATCTGTAGAAGAGAAACTGTTCCTGTCCTTTGGGGCCACTGTTTCTGGTTTTTGCACAGTTTTTTGGGTCAGGAAGGGATGCAGCAGAAAGGCCAGAACATAAAAAACAACAGACCTGAAGTCTATCTTATGTAAATAAAAAATGTAATGTTCGTTTGTGGGGTTAACAGAACTCAAAAACTACGGGACGAATTGACACCAAATTTGGACGCAAGACACCTAACAACCCAATGTATGTCCTTCACTCAAAAAATGGTTTTTGTCATTTGGGAGTTGTAGTTGCTGGGATTTATAGTTCACCTACAATCAAAGAGCATTCTGAACCCCACCAACGATGGAATTGAACCAAACTTGGCACACTTCTCCCATGACCAACAGAAAATACTGAAAGGGTTTGGTGCACAGTGTCCTTTGGTTTTGTAGTTGTAGTTCACCTACATCCAGAGATCACTGTGGACTCCATGCAGTCATGCTGGCCACATGACCTTGGGGGTGTCTATGGACAACGCTGGCTCTTCGGCCTAGAAATGGAAATGAGCACCATCCCCCAGAGTCAAACATGACTAGACTTAATGTCAGGGGAAACCTTTACCTTTACTAAATCATAACGCTAACATAGAGATACTATGGCAAACCGTTTTCTGAGCTAGGCTTTAAGATTATCTTGTAGCATTACTAATGGCACTCTCGTTTTGAGGGAAGGGGGAAAGGGATGAATGTAGAGAGATGTTATGAAATAATACTCTGTTATACTGTTTATTACAAGTGATATTTTTGTTATATTTTCTCTCAACCAGTTTGTTGCATAATTTAAGGACCCAGCTCTAAGGCTTTAGCTTTGTGGCCCGTCCCTTGTGTTTCTTGGTTTATGACTGTCGGCTTTGCGGAATACGGCTGAGATGAAAGGATTCCTGGAGGATGCAAACTACTCCATTGGCTTACTGGATGAAGGAGTGAATGTTGCAGAAGTCATTGACAACTGCATTTATGAACATACCCTTGTAAGTTGTTTCTAATTCCCTTATTTTCAATTTGTAATATTCCAGCTACTATTATGTTTTCATACATTTTATTGTGTAATTGGGAAATAATAACTGGGACAGTAACTAACAAAATAAGGAAATGATGCTTAAAGGTACTTTGGTTAGTTGTCATATTATTGTACTCTGAAGTATATATTATGTTTTTTCTTCTCCTTTCTAGAATGGAAAAAATGGATTTTTTGTTGGTGATCTGGGAAAGCTGATCAAACACCACATCCACTGGCAGAATGTGATGGCACCAATAAAGCCATTTTACAATGTAAAATGCAACTCCACCCCTGGTGTACTTGAGATACTGGCAGCTTTAGGAACTGGGTTTGCATGTTCGAATAAGGTACGTATTGTTTGTGTTAATGTTCCTCTTCTGCATTTTTTTTTCAATCTTGAGATTTTTCAAAAATAATTTTAGGGATCCTACTGCAATAGCTTGCTGAGCATTGGAAGCTGGTAACTGGAGATAGATAGATAGATAGATAGATAGATAGATAGATAGATAGATAGATATGTCATGTTTGTTTGTGGGACTAACATATCTCAAAAATCACTGGGCGAATTGACACCAAATTTGGACACAATACACCTATCAGGCCAATGAGTGACCATCACTCATAAAAACACTGAAAATGCAGCAGAAGATACTTAAAAAGCCAAAAAATAAAAATACACTACAATGCATGCACATAACCACATTGTTCCCCTAAGTCCAGTCATGTCCAACTCGGGGGGGGGGGGGGGGTGTTGGTGGTCATCTCCATTTTTAAGCCCAAGAGCCAGTGTTGTCCATAGACACCTCCAAAGTCATATGGCCTGCATGGCGCACCGTTACCTTCCCGCCGAAGAGGTACCTATTGATCTACTCACATTTTCAAATTGCTAGGTTGGCAGAAGCTGGGGCTAACAGCGGGAGCTCATGTTGCTCCCCGGATTCAAACCTGCGACCTTTCAGTTAGCAAGTTTAACAGCTCAGCAGTTTAACCTTCTCCCTTCCCAGCTGCCATTATGGGGTGATTAGCAGATTGAGCAGGGCGTTCTGTATGGAAAAGAGCAGGGAGGGAACTTCCTTGTATCTTGTCCTAGTTTGTAGAACTAAGGCCCCTTCCACAGAGCTGAATAAAATCCCACATTTTCTGCTTTGTACTGGAATATATGGCAGTGTGGACTCAGTTCACAGCAGAAATTGTGGGATTTTTCTGCCTTGTTATTCTGGGTTATATGGCTGTGTGGAAGGTCCCTAGGTTTGCACACTAAATTATTGTCTCTTTAATGCCAGATAAAGATAGGGTTTTACCGCCCTGTGTACAGTGACCGACTTGTTAGCAGGTCATGTTACACCAGATCAGACTTGTCTATTTAGCCCTGTATTGTCCACTGCATGGCAGCAACTCTCAAGGGCTTCAGTGTTATTTGAATGAGAGATAGTTATTTCACCGGTTGTGAACATCTTTTGCATATCTTTCAGGGTAGTTGTATTTAATATTTGCAGCTCTCATGTAAATGGCTCAGATTCATAAAATTGAGAACAATTCTGTTGTTCATTGTTTTGTCCAAAATCATCAAAGAATAACTGATTAATGTACAACGTGCACGCCATGTTTAAACGTCAACTATGTGAGGAGAGAGTATACAGGATAGCAAAAGTAAACATGAGTATCAGAAACCTTATGTGTTACCATCTCCTTCTCTTATACAAAAAATGTGTTGCATTTTGATTTCTGGAGATAAGATGAAATGTTCAGTTTTGTTTCAGGAGATCAGGCTGTAAACTTGGGCCACTTCCACACAGCTGAATAAAATCCCATATTTTCTGCTTTGAACTGGAATATATGGTAGTGTGGACTCAGATAACCCAGTTCAAAGCAGATATTGTGGGGTTTTTGTCCTGATATTCTGGGTTATATGGCTGTGTGGAAGGGCCTTATAATTTTTTTAGATAAACCCTGGGATAGATTTTTAAAATACAAGCTATATGGAATTTTCTAAATGAGCATGTAATTAAAAAGCGCACTCTTATTTAATTTCTAAATCTGTGACAGTTAATGCTGTTTTTCTCTCTCTCTCTTTCAGAATGAAATGGCATTAGTTCAAGACTTGGGCATTTCTTCTGAAAACATTTTATTCTCAAATCCTTGTAAGCAAGCTTCCCAAATAAAATATGCAGCGAAAACCGGAGTAAACATTTTGACATGCGACAATGAACTAGAATTAAAGAAAATTGCTAGAAACCATCCAAATGCAAAGTAAGCATAAATTTGTTTATTTTATTTACTGTTGTATTTCAGTTGGAAGGTTAAGTTTCTGAAATGCCTTTTAGGGAGTACTAACCAATGAGTGTTTTCACATGCTTCTCTTTGAATTTTTAAAATGTGAGACTGAACGATTTTAGTATCCAATACTAGTTAGGTATGTGTGTAACTGTAATTCTAATTCGTTGCTTTTGAGGATGCTTCTAACTTCCACAGGCATTGTTTTATTAGGACTATTTGAAAATTTCCTTGACTCAAAGCCTGCTTCTGCCCAAAATTATATGGGAACATAATATTGATGTGAAAATAAAGTAGATTTTATTCTGCACCGGGATACTCTGACGACATGATAGATACACCGCATGTTTGTTCAGATAACCATTTGTGACAATTGCTTCAAAATCCTTTAAAATGGTCCCAAATGTCTTTGGTAGGGGGGGGGGGAGATCTGGAACCTACTGTTGTGTGGTGTGTATGTGAAACATAGTGTTGCACCAACTGGGTACATCACATTGTCTTCAAGCTTATTTGGGTAGCATCAGCTTGAAAGGAGCAACAAAGGTATGACTGAATTGTCTGAAACATTTAAGCTATTTCAGCAATAAGTATGGGTCCCTTTGAAAAAGCAGAATACCAAGTTTGAATTTTAACATGTTTTTCTTTTTGTTGTTGTGTGCCTTCAAGTAATTTCTGACTTCCAGCAACCCTAAGACAAATAGATCATGGGGTTTTCTTGGCAGACTTTCTTCCTGGGAGGTTACCTTTGTCTTCCTCTGAGAGAGAGTGACTTGCCTAAGGTCATCCAGTGGCCAAGCAAGAATTCACACCTGGTCTCCAGAGTCATGGCCCATTGCTCAGACCATTACACATCCTGGCTGTCTATTGAGTGTTGTGTTTGGAGAAAGACAATATAAATAAACACATTCTTCAGCAGTGCATAGTGTGGGCAGACTTCCTTGCTGGGGAGAGTTTATTGAAGAGGTGCTTCAGTTAGGCACCTCCATTTCCATATTTAATTTTTGTGTAAAAGAATTACTGTAATAAGGCATATTTGTAAAAGGACAGCGGTTGCCAGTCTTCACATGTTTCCTGTCTTCTCTCACACTTTGGACTGTATACTGTCATCCAAAAGGCTAGGATCATGTATTTGCATGCTTTAAAAGACAATAGAAAATGCTGTGGTTGTATGTCCCTTAAGGGCACATTTACATGACTGCTGTTGACCCCCTTTTGAGGCAAATTGCACAGCTGGAAGTGTAAGTAATAGACAGTAAATAATGTCTTTCATATCCTACATAGACTTCATCATTGACGGTAAAAAAACAATTGCCACTCTCAGATGCATGCATGAGCAAACAGGTCACTGCATCTAATCACTGAAGGATGTGATTAAGCATTTTAAGATGTATGCAGTCATTTACTCAAATCTCTAAGATTAATGGTAACTACAAGTAGGAAAGAAACGATTCATTTTTCTAGGAACCAAAGACTTGACATTTCCTCAACCCTCCATCTTCTGGGAAGAGGAACTGCTGCCCTTCATCAAATACTTACAAATAAGATCTGAAGCCAGTAGAAAAGAGGGACACACCATGACATAATACCTAGTTGGAGGAAAAATATGGGATGCCTTTTACTGCAAACCAAAAAAAGAAGGGCTGAAACACAATGGAGAGAGAGTTGAGGGGGGGGGGGGGGGGGGGGAGAGAAGGGGTCTACATTGTTAATTGTAGCAATAATATGTTTCATGCTTATGTCTATGCTTGATGTTTTTATAGCTTTAATGGTTATTTTCTACAGTTATATGTAATTGATTTGGATATGTTATATTTTTGTATATATGTGAGGCACTGAATTTGCCATTTATTATGTTGTAAACCGCTTTGAGTCCCCGCAGGGGTGAGAAAAGCGGTATAGAAATGCAGTTAATAAATAAATAAATTTTAAATAGCCAACCATCTCTCCAAACCAGCCATATTCAGCATGTTTATAAAGTTTAGTGTTAAGTCAGAGGAATTTAGGATGTCCATGACTACATGTAAGGTAATGTACTTTTATTACAGCATTCAACAGACTTTCTGCTACAACAGAATCTTTAGCTGCTGCATTTCCAACCCCCCTTTCTTATCGACTCCCATATTTTAGGCCCTAATTGCTAGTTTTCTCTCTATACAGGATTGTTTTATTAGGTTCCCTTGACTCGTCCATCGATGGCACTGGAGTAATGGCAACATAATCAACATACTTCTGACAGTCTTCAGGCTTCACATGTGCTGATGCTGGTGTAAACCAACTGTGCCCCAATCATCTTCCCCTTCTCTTAGGCTCTTGCTTCATATTGCCACAGAAGACATTAATGGAGGTGAAGAGATGAACATGATGTTTGGCACCACCCTGAAGAACTGTCGTCACCTTATGGAATGTGCAAAGGAGCTGAATGTCCAAATAATTGGCGTCAAGTGAGTAGACTGAGCATTTCTCTTTCATATTCCCTTTTACATTCTCTTCCTTGCTGTTGTATTGTAATATGAAATAAGAAACGAAAAGCAGTCGAGTATGCATTTATTATGTCCATATCCACATTTTCAGTTGTGTATTGTGCATATTATGGGCTCCCTGGTAGTGCAGCGGGTTAAACCGCTGAGCTCTGAACTTGCTGACTGAAAGGTTGGCAGTTCAAATCTGGGGAGCAGGGTTTGCTCCCGCTGTTAGCCCCAGCTTCTGCCAACCTAGCAGTTCGAAAACATGCAAGTGTGAGTAGATCAGTAGGTACCACTTCTACAGGAAGGTAATGGCGCTCCATGCAGTCATGCTGCCCACATGGCCTTGGAAGTGTCTATGGACAACGCCGGTTTTTTGGCTTGGAAATGGAGATGAGCTCCACCCCCAGAGTTGGACACAACTGGACTTAATGTCAGGGGAAACCTTTTCCTTTTCTTTTGTTGTGCATATTAATAAAAAAAGCATTTAATATGCTACCTTGTACCTTGAAAAGCAATGTTGGAAGCAGGGACAGGAGGACACTGAGTTTTCTTATTTGCATGGTTTGTAAATATTTGTCTTGGATATCTGTGGTAAGATAATGCTTGATGCTCCCCCTGAGTTTTTTGCAGGCCCCTTTTATATTGAAGCCTCTTCCTATAATAACTTTTCCCACAGAAAAGAAATATGCTTCTATACTTCAAACGGAAACTAGCATATCTTTTGGGGAGGGGGTCTTTTGGATATGAGCACCAAACACTGCAAAAGAACATTTAAGACGAATTATCCTTCATTGCTTGCATTGCATCTTCCTTTATTTTTTGCTGTCCTTTGGGCAGCTCCTTACTTACCATGTGTATAAACCACTGGTTAAGCCTAAACATACACATGACAAGGAAATCCAGTATTTGAATGGGAGTTATTTCTAAATAGGTTTATTTGGGGTTGTAGTCATCTAACTTAGTTTGCTGGACACTAACCATCTTTCTGAATGTATCTATTTGGTTTAGGCTTGGTCATCATGGGAGAAATATTGTTTCTTTCAGGTGATGTGTTAAAACTTCTCTTAAGGAACAAAATACTCAGGGCTAGTGTGACAGTTGAGTACAGTGTTGCTAAAATGTGAGGCCTGTTCAGGTATACCCCATCCCAAGGGAGTTATTGGGAAGAGGCCCAGCTTATCATACCTCTAATTCTCTGATACTGGGTAGAAAAGCTTGAATAAACTGAGCTGGAGCCACATTTGATTGTGGGATCTTTCTTATCACTGTCTCTTGGATAGAATTTCAAGTTCATAACATTGCCCCAACAGGCACTGTCTGGTTTGATTTTCAGCTATTCACCAAACCTAGTTTGTAATTAGCATTGAATTTTTTGTCATAGATATACAGAATTCAGGATATTAAAAGAAACATCTTGTGGCATTGCCGTAAACTTACATGCATCATGTAGACTGTAGTGTTTATGTTTGGAAATAGTGATACAGTATGTCATGCCTTGTATATTTTTACAAAGAGTCTCTTGGAATTGCCTCCAAATTTCTTAATCAACTAGAATAATGATCTTAGTAATAATTTAAACTTGTCTCTTGTCTCTTTTTCTTTTTTTAGATTTAATGTTTCAAACTCTTGCAAGGAACCTCAAGTGTACAAACATGCTATTTCTGATGCTCGCTGTGTATTTGATATGGCTGTAAGTGAAGTGTTGCATCTATATATACATGTTAAATAAATACAGATAATCCCAAGAGATTCAACTCTAAATATAACAAAGTCCTTTTAATTTGTAATGTTAATTTCAAGATTCATTTGACATCTAATCAACATTCTTGCATAAAGAGGCATTATGCATAAAAACTAAATAAGTAATGTTTGTATCCTTATATGGGCCCCTTGGTGGCACAGTGGGTTAAACCGCTGAGCTGCTGAACTTGCTGACCAAAAGGTTGGTGATTCGAATCCGGGGAGTGGGGTGAGCTCCCACTGTTAGCTCTAGCTTCTGCCAGCCTTGCAGTTCGAAAACACGCAAATGTGAATAGATCAATAGGTACCACTCCAGTGGGAAGGTAACGGTGCTCCATGCAATCATGCTGGCCACATGACCTTGAAGGTGTCTATGGACAGCGCCGGCTCTTCAGCTTAGAAATAGAGATGAGCACCCCTCCCCTCCAAGTCAGACACGACTAGACTTAATGTCAGGGCAAACCTTTACCTTTACCTATGTTTGAATTCAGTGGATAGTATAACAAGAAAGGCCATGTATGCAGATTTTACTTTCTGCTGTCGCTCCCTAGTCACATCCTATGTAATTCTGGATTGTGTTCTAACACCTGGAAAGAAACTTTTGTGCTTTTAAGAGTCTCAAAGGACTGCAGTATCAGGGATGGATAAGAAAGACCCATTCTGTGAGCACAGCTCCATTTGTTACTTGTTTGATCCAAGCTATAATGCTCGTTTATCATTATTTTACCATACAATTGAAGGTGTATGCTCATTTATATGTGATATAATCTAAACTATATAATTGCCTGATTTGTAACAGCATTGAAACAAGATATCTATCCTGTGAAATCACTCAGCATTTTGGAAGCTTGCATTATAAACAGCAAATTTTCTGCATTTTATTATAGGAAGAATTTGGCTTTACAATGAACATGTTGAATATTGGTAGTGGATTTACGGATTATGAATTTGATCTGGAAAAGGTATGAAATATTATTTTGATTTCCCCCCTTACCTGTCACTTTTAGTTGATACTTGCATTTGTTAGGATTTTCTGTTAGTGAAGACTACTCAAAAATACAGCAGAGCATCCAAAATACAAACAGGATACTAAAAGTTGAGCATCAGCTCACAGCAAGCAGAACTTGAAGTGCTGTTGGATGTGGCTGTAACCAATCAGAATGAGAGCAGATACAAAGAGGAGAGAAGAAATTGATACATTCCACCTGTCATTTGGGGGGGGGGAGGTATTTTCCTCAGCCTATTCTAAGCTAACTACTCCTCATTGAGGGCTGCAGACTTGGGAAATGTGGGGTTGAATTCCAGCAGCATTTACAGTGGATGTAAATTACTTTTTACAGCAAACAAATTGTACTATGGAGGCAAGTACTGAAAAAAAAATGTATTCAGCTCAGATATGTCTAAATTCACTATACTGTGTTTTTGTGCCAAGAAGAAAAGTGCAAGTCAGAAGCTCTGTGTCGAATATATTGGTTAAGAGACCAGGGCCGGCATAAAATGAAGGCCATTTTACATTTAGAGATGGGCACACAGTGCTGGATTCAAATCCCATCAAGCTCAAAGCAGAGAGATCTACTAAAATCAATGTGGCCCATTAAACAATGACTAACATAAATCCCTGTGATCTTATTTGACCTATTCTAAGCACAACTAAGTCTAGAACCAACCTCATGTTTTCAGTGAGTGATTGTTGGTGTAGTATGTTGGGATCCAGTGCACTAAATGGATCAGAGACTATTCTAACACTTGCTATGATACCCAAGACTATTTGTATCTGACTTCTGTTGTAGTTATTGAAAGCACTGTTTGTAAACAGATTGTATTAAAAAATCTGATTTTTTTCTTCTTCACTATTTTATATCTTTTCCATTTTCCTATAATAACTAGTGACTTGTGGATTGTAGTTCCAATTCCTTTTCTACTGTATTTACCTAAACACAACTGAAAGTACATTGGAATCAGTCAGGCATCAAGTAATGTTCATGTGTCAGAGCTATAAAGCAGGGAGGTTAAAGGTTGCCTACAAACTGAACACTTTACACAGATGTAGTTGTATATTGGTGGAGCAATAAAGAGAGGGAAGGTTAATCATTAATATTTTTATTCATACCTGTATGAGGATTCAGTTATGAGGGAGGGAAGGAACACGTGTATGTTCTCTGACCACACAGAAATCAGTATTATGAGTTTTTATATTTGCAATCATCATCCCAGCATAATAGGAAAAATAATCGTTATTTAAATGTCTCTCCATTGGAATTTTAGGACTTTAATTTAAAGCAGGCATGGCGTGGGAAAACTTCAGCCCTCCAGGTGTTTTGGACTTCAGTTCCCACAATTCCTAATACTGGCTGTTAGGAATTGTGGGAGTTGAAGTCCAAAATACCTGGAAGGCCAAAGCTTGCCCGTGCCTTCTCTAATACTACACTTCCAGAAAGGCATTGGCTGCATATCTATTTTAAAATATTTAATATTGAGAACTAGATTTGAGAGGGTTCTTTTGGTTTTTTGACCTTTGAAAAGCAGATCAGGATTTGAAGAACAGTTGCAAAAGAGCAAATGCCTCTTCTGTCCATTATCTGGCACTATATTGCTTCTCTTACAGCAGTGGTTCTCAACCTGTGGGTCTCCCGGGTGTTTTAGCCTACAACTCCCAGAAATCTCAGACAGTTTACCAGGTCTTAGGCTTTCTGGAAGTTGAAGGCCAAAACATCTTACAGCTTTATAACTCTCTCAATGGCTTCATTATCCCATCAGATGAGCTACTGATGGGATAATAAGCATTCTTGATATTACTAGGATGCATGGAGACAGCATGAATTCTACAAAAATGACCATGTAGATGACATCTCACGATGAAAACTTCCATAAACTATTCCTAGAAATTATGCAAGCATTTAGGTGACTAGTTTGAATAAGATTAGGAGAATATTAATAAATAAGACAGATTTTCACTATCTGGGTTTGAGGTTGAGAAACAGCTCAGTATGAACCAGTACTAATTATCTGGTGGTAATGTGCTGCCATGTATTTTTAGTTTTAGGTAATAAGAAAAAAATCACTAATTTATAACAGTTTAAAATAAAACTGGTGCCTATAGTATTAGTAATGATATGCTCAGTTACACCAAATATTTATATGGTACAGCATCCTATTCCCACAGTGGCAGCAAGATGTCTACTGAAAGGAGAATATGAAAAATGACACCTTCTTACTTATGTTCCCTACCAACTGATATTTAGTGGAATTTAGTGGTATATTTAGTGGAATAAGTGACCAAGAATCAGTGTGATTGATAAATGGAATGGCCCTGGATTATGTTTTGGGTGGCGTGGTTTTAATTTATGTTTTAATTGTTCATGTTTTAATTGTTTGGTTTTTAATTGTAATTGTTTATTTGACACATTTATGTATGGCAACAAATTGTTGCCTGTTGTAAGGCAACTTTGAGTCCCCTCTGGGGTGAAAAAAGCAGGATATAAATATGGTAAATAAATACTGCATTTTAGGCAATTTACAGCCATTGTAACTTTAACCATGTACGGTTTTCTCCTCCATAAAGATAGTGGTGTCCTTTCTTATGTCAGCATTTAGCCTGCCAAAAAATAATCTGAGATCAAACCTACAGTTTGTAAAGAGCTTGTAAATTATAGGTACTAAATTTTGCAGAAACAATTTTTTTTTAAAATATCTTTTTTATCTTCTAGATTAATCATGTTGTTAGCCCATTGCTTGACATATACTTTCCTGAAGAATCTGGTGTAAACGTGATTGCGGAAGCTGGATGCTATTATGTTTCATCTGCATTTACACTTGCAGTTAATATAATTGCGAAGAAAGCTGTTCAGTCTACTGAGCCCCTTCTCTTCAAAAGTAAGCAAAATCATCTGCCTGTTACGTCAGCAGAGGTTTCAGATGCAAGCATTTGCCTTGGAACCTTGCCTGAAATTAGGTCCCTCCTCAAATAGTGCGCTTTCTGTTTTAGATTGCTTTGAAAATGTTACATTTAGCATGTCGTAGAGCACTTTTCAGATGAAGCTCACAAAGCAGTATAGATTACAAATACTAAAATGAGATTATACATTTTTAAGAAAAGTAAACACAACCTACAGGGAACAAGTTTTGAAATGTTACTTCACTCTCCTCACATTAAGATAGTTTTGAATAAATTTGCAGTTGAATTTTGGGAAGTGAGAGTTTGCTTTGGTTGGAAAACTGGGAGCTAGTTGATGGACAGCTACAACCAGACTCTTTTGTCATTTGTCCTCTTTCAGAGTGTCTCTCAGCTCCTGTATGTGAGTTGGCTTCCATTCAAAAGACCTTTTAATGAACTAGTAAGAGTAGAAAATTCTTTAATGTTTGGGAACTCGGTTGTACTTTTATTCCCATAGTAACATGCTGCTCCAGATTAAAATGTCTTGCCCATAGGAGAGAGATGGCCACTGTCCTGATATTGTTGGACACGAAGGTTCATGTCATCCTGTGCCATTGCTTTTGCTAGGAGTTGCAATCTGACATCTGGAGGGCCACGTGTTCCCTCTCCTGATGTAGGATTATACTTTAAAATTGTTATCTATGTAGGTTTGCTTTGAATAGCACTGTTGATATACTGATGGTATATTTTGCATTTTATTTGAAGTGTTGTCAAGTGATCAAGCTTAAATGATTCCTTATATATTTGTTGCAAGTCGCATCTCTTACAATCCTTTGAAGTTTTTCATCTTGTCCATGTTCCATGCATTCCTGGAACATTTGCTGTACATTGAAGTTTACTGTGAGGCTGTTACTAAAATACATTTCTTTTTAAACAGCTGAACAAACCCAGGAGGATGACCAAGTCTTCATGTACTATATAAATGATGGTGTTTATGGTTCTTTTGCAAGCAAATTGTCTGACAATTTGACTACTATTCCAGAGGTTCACAAGGTGAGACCACCTTTATGTACTTTAGGATGAGATCTTCTGACAATTTAGTTGTATTACTTGTTGATAGTGTTTAGGCTTTTGTTGTCACTTAAGGTAATTATTGTTCTATTGGGGAAATATAGTAGAATATAAATAAAGTTGTTTATTATTATTATTATTATTATTATTATTATTCTGATGCATAATTAGGTCTGTATTTAAGTGTCACAACTCTGTTTATGTAGAAATACAAGGAAGACGAGCCTCTATTTGCAAGCAGCCTTTGGGGTCCATCCTGTGATGAGCTTGATCAAATTGTGGAAAACTGTCTTCTCCCTGAGCTGAATGTTGGAGACTGGCTGCTCTTTGACAATATGGGTTCCGGCACTTTGGGTGAACAATCTGCTTTTAACGACTTCCAAAGGCCACCTGTTTACTACATAATGTCAATCAGTAACTGGTAAGTTCATGTTTTATTGCATTTGCTCAATCAGTCTAGATCTTCAATGAGATATTAGGTGCTTTAGGTGATAATGTAATTCACTTTTAAGTAAGGATACAGACAACTGAACATCATATTTAGAAAACTTAAGCTTCAAATATTGTTATGGGATGTTTATATGTACATTCAAGGTATTCTGGTGCTTTTTAATAAATAAGATCTTACAGCTCAAATAAGATGTGTGTATATATGTATGCGTGTATGTACATACACATATGTGGAGTTGGTTCAGTAGCCAAAGTGCTATACTTCAATATGGGCAAATTTCTAAGCAATTTTTGACATTTAGTCTGAATCCCACTAGTTCACCCTTGAACATGTGAACAGTTTTCAGCTTAACTGTGATTTCACATGATAAATATGTTAAAATCTATGCCATATACATGCTATATATTCAGGTCTTCACTTTGTGAAGGCTGGTTGGCATCTCAATGTATTCAAGTAGCTTTTTCACCAGTGTCTTTTTTAAAAGCTATGCCCATGGTCACTTCTTGAAAGCAGCAGCATAGTTATTTGCTATTGGCTTGTGTGTGTGTGTGTGGAACGACTTGAGAAACTGCAAGTCACTTCTGGTGTGAGAGAATTGGCTGTCTGCAAGGATGTTGCCCAGGGGACGCCTGAATGTGTTACCATCCTGTGGGAGGCTTCTCTCATGCCCCGCATGGGAAGCTGGAGCTGACAGACAGGAGCTCACCCTGTCTCCTGGATCTGGTCAGCAGTTCAACCGGCACAAGGATTTAACCCATTGCGTCCCTGCAGCTCCATTATTGGCTTTGTGATGGCAACATAATGATTTTACAATAATTTTAATAGGGTAAGAGTAAAATAAATGGAATCAGTGAGTTTATTTTATATCACTCTTTGCAGAGTAATGGAGTTTTATACTAAGCTTTAAAATTAAGTATGTGTACGCCTCATAGACCACTAGAAGCCCCCCCCCCCCCCCCGGAGTCGAGAAACATGGGATATAAATATAGTAATTATAAATATAGTAATTTTCCCCAAATTCTTGAATGTAAAAATCTCGATTTGGTAGAACAAGAACTAGAGCAGAATTAAAATCAGGTTGGGTAATTTTTTTCCTAATTTGAAACATTACTTTGAAGAAATCTGGAAAGTATGCTAAGTGGAAACAAAAGGTATAAACGACTGCAATTGTTCGACAAGCCCAAATGCCTTGGAATTGTGAGATTTCTTTCAGTGCTTGACCTGAACATCTGTGTGCTTTCTAGGTGTGAGATGCAAGATGCTGGATTCACCTGTGAGACACTGATGAAGAATTGCTTCTTTGTGCCTTCGTGCATTCAGCTGAGCCCTGAAGACGGATTTTCCCTCGCAGCTTAAACAGGCATTAGTGATTCATTTAGCCTTGCAGTTGCACGTCTGTAGTCTTGTCTGGTCACAACATTCCAGTTTGGAAGAAAAAAAATGGAACAATCTTGAATGAATTCTCAAAACTTGAAATCAATTGGGACCAGGCAAAACCAGCTTACAACTACAATTCCCTGGGGGAGTAAGGGTTAAATAATATACAAATTTAAACATGTCAGATATTTCAATCCCTCAGCGTTTAAATTTAAATATGCAACAAAATGGATGACTTAGTTGAGATGGAAACCCATCACTTGGGTTCTCTGTTAACAGTTTACATACAAGTACAGTTTTTATACTAAGGATTTCTGTTAGAAAGTCTTGTAAAGTTGTCTTTTCCCCCAGATATATGAAATGTCAGTGGGAAACCAGTGTGACTTCATTAGCTATGTTTAGTGTATTTAGAATGTGTAAATTTGTGCTTTGAACTGTAGTTTAATAAATGTAAAATTGCATCATAGTATTTGTTGTATTTCACCCTTGGCGTACCTACACTTGTATGATTGCAATAAAAAATGGTGTAGAATTTGCTGCCCTGCCCCCAGTTCCTGCTCAAATAGGGAAGGTGTCTAAGCAGCAGCCAGAGTTTAAGTGCAGAAAGGTGTAACGTAACTTATTCACAGATTTTTAAAAAAACAAAAACATTAGATCATGAGCACTGTATTCCAAATTGAAGTGCATTATGTGGATTTCTTTATGCATCTGATTTAATTATTCTAACATTCAAACATTCAATTTGTGAAGCATGAAACAGTCCATATGAAGTTAGTAGTTTAGCAGGAAGCCGAACTACTGTTTTGTTCTTTTGGTTGTACAAAGCAAGGTGGATTTTTGTGTGTGCTTAACAGTAAGGCTGGTTGAATTGAGAAGGGCTTGGCTTTTGCATAAAAATGGAAAGCCTTATGCTGAAAGTCTCTTAACTTCCCAGAAAGGTACTTGTGATGGCATTCAGCCTTTAACTGAGTGGCTGTTTCCGGAGCCTTGCCTTTTTTTTTTTTTTTTTGGCACATACAACGGGAAAATTCACCTGAACTATATTCAAACTGCCTCAGCTAGATTTAGTAAATAAAATACTGACATTTTTACTCTTTGTTACTTAGACTCTTTCACTTCTCTGATTACTCGTTTTAATTTATTTTGCTAATCTAGTAGCCTTGGACATATTTTTGAATGCACCAAGCCAGAATTTATTTGAAAATGGAGATTGGTATTCCTTACTTAAGTTCATGTTTGAACTATGCCACCATATGAAAATGTATTTTATATTAGCGTTGAGCAGCCAGAAGTTACTTTTCTTCAATTTGGTGAATCAAAAATGCACTGTTGTTTGAAGGGCTTAAGGCAGGCATGGGCAAACTTCAGCCCTCCAGGTGTTTGGACTCCAACTCCCACAATTCCTAACAGCCTGCAGGCTGTTAGGAATTGTGGGAGTTGAAGTCCAAACACCTGGAGGGCTGAAGTTTGCCCATGCCTGGCTTATGGAGTATTCACGTTGGTCTGATCGTAATAAAATAACAGGTACTATATTTGAAATGCCTTTCACTTCTGTGAATGGTTTCTTTTGCCCAATCCAGTAACCCTGAGTGTAAAATACAGCTGTGAGCACTAAAGCACAAATGAAACATAAACCATTTACATTTTACCAATTCAGAAAAAAGAATGAATTTCTAGCATTGTGATCCAGCATCTACCAGGGTTCTATGAGGAAGAAAATGAATACTTATCATATCAAACCCGGGAGTCTGCTATAAAGTTTATAGAACTGTTGTGAGTTTTACCAACTCTGTTGTAAATGGTACAGTCACCTTGGAAATGTATGTATTGTATTTGACCGTTTGCCATAAAAAACTGGTTTGAACTTGGTATGTATTTGAATTTATATGCTAAAAACCTATCTTCTGTTTACAATATTGTAATATCAGTTTTGGAATAATTCAAATATAAAACTGAATGATTTCTATATAGCAACTTTAACTAGTGGAACTTTTGTCTTGTGTATATACAACTGGATGCCGTCGGAGACTGTTTATTTTAGAGCTTTGCAAATCACAGAAGCTTTACGCTCATATGTAATGGGGAAAGTGCAGTGTGAAAGGATCAGATGCACACAGCTACTGCTTCAAGTTGAGTAACCAAGAACCCGTTAGCAGACCTAAGGAAAAATACCTGTTGCAAGTATTTTTGTGGGCCTTATTAGTGAGATAATTCACTAATGACAGAAATCTGTAAATTTCAATGTTCAGTTCCAAAGCAGCTTTCACATGGCAGTATTCACTTGCACCTAATGCCATAATATCCCTGCAACAAGATGGGAAGGATTCTTCCACCTTGGAGAAGACAGTAAAGGGAGGTTTATTCCCTGATGAAGGTGTTTGGGCAATGTGAGTGAGAGAAGAAGTAAAGTACGTGCATCTAGTGCAGAGAACCATAGTGGCCTTCTCATAGCATATCTTGCTAGAGAATGTGCAAACTGTGCACCCTCACTACCTCTAAGGATGCTTGCCATGGATGCAGGCTAAACGTCAGGAGAGAATGCCTCTAGAACATGGCCATATAGCCCGAAAAAACCTACAACCCTGTGCACTAGAAGTTTTTCCACAGGAATCTAGGAAGTGATCTTGGAGAACAGACTTTCTAGCATCCACTTGTTATTCAATTTATATTCCAGTCTTCCCATGGATGAGCCTCCGAGTAGACCCACTGAATAGTTGGGGTTTATATTAGTGACTTATAATGTAATAATTGATTTAATTGCTCTCCTCTTCTCAGGGCTAGTAATATGATGCCAGCTTGTCTGAATAGTGTTGTATTGTCCACTTCTGTTAACAGTGGCTTTCATAGTTCCAGTCAGGACAGTCCCATCATTTGATTCTGCTTCCTATTTCTTTTAACAAGGTATAAAGACTGAACTTGAACTACTTGCTAGTCAAAATATTTTGTCATATCATTGAATGCTGGAATACCCTCTTCATCAGAAACTGCAGCTCTGCATTTAATAATAATAATAATAACTTTATACCCCGCTGCATCTCTCCCAGGGGGACTTGGTGCGGTTTACATGAGGCCACGCCCATCAGTACAGTACACAACAATATAACACAAAACATAACAAATCCAAAAAATAAAATACATAAAATGCAAAACCAATATAATAAGCGACACAACAATATAAAATCAAACATTAAAACACAAAAGATTTCATTGGGCAGAGCCAAATTCAAGGATTAAATTTTTAAAACACTGGGAGATAGGACAATGTAAAACATCGGGAGGAGGATCCAGGGATGAAGAAGGGATTTAATTGCACAAACCATAAAATAAAGTGCTTCTGAGGTCATTTTGTGCAAAGTTTGGTCAGGGAGCATCTTAATGGTGAAACTAAAAAGTTTCAGAACGAAATTCCAAGCATTTTAATTTGTTTTGGGATTTCAGTCTTACAAATGCATCTGTAACAAGGGTTATATATTCTTCCTAATGTAACTATACTAAAGCTTTGTTTCAGTCAGCTAGTAGAAATGAATGCTTAACCTTAGGCAGCTTTACAGTGCAAAGGTAACATCAAGAAAATAGCATGGTCACATTTTTGTGCATCCATTTCCTTTCTTAATTTGTGATGTTTTAAATGCTGGTGTGGAGAGGTAGCAGATTCTAGCAAATACCTATTGTCTCCTCCTACCCATCTAATATAATTGGATTTGAAGTTGGAACCACTACAAAATATTGCAAGAATCCCACTGTTCTGGGCGCTAGCCGATTTCCCTCAAGCTTCTCCACTATAGAGTTCCAGCAGGATATTGTCCTACCCCAGTTTTCTTTTTTTAAATGGTAGTCAACATATTGTAACTACTAAGCATGCTCTGTTTACACTGAGTGATGTTTAAAGAGTTTTATCGGGCTTTTTTGCTGCCTTGAATTTTTCAGTACTTCAGCTATTTCCCACTGTTCTTGCGTGTTCCTGTTTTGGTTGCTGTCCAGAGTTCAGTCCCTGAGTGTGTGAGGGAGAATTATGCTTACTGGGTCTGGGATGGAGCTGGAAATAAACTGCCCTGCCCTGACATTACTTAACTGTTGGTTACTGCCAAGTGTTTGCTCCCTGTGTCTTGTAGCTTCTCAATTCTGTTAATGAAAGAGGGCTAGCTACATATATAGCACTAAATTACATTTGAGTTGTTGTAGGTTTTTTGGGCTGTATAGCATGTTCTAGAACAGTGGTTCCCAAACTTATTTGGCCTACCCCATAGAAATCAATTTTTCTAAATCTTCTTTCTTTTATGCTTTCATCGCCCCCTTACAGTTATTCATCGCCCCCAAATGCACCTGTGGCCATTACTGCCCCCCCCCTCCCGATCGCTGCAGTACCCACCAGCGGGGCAGTAATACCCACTTTTGGAATCACTGTTCTATAAGGATTCTTTCCTGACGTTTCGCCTGCCACAGATGCAGGCGAAATGTCAGGAGAAAATGCTTCTAGAACACAGCCATCCAGCCCAAAAAACCTACAACAACCCAGTGATTCTGGCCATGAAAGCCTTCAACAAGTACATTTGAATTTATTTCCAAGAATACCACTTGATATTAGCAGGAAAAGCACACTGTTTAAATATTTGGAAGTTTAATTCAAACTTATTATCTGAGGGTGACAGATCAACTTACAAGATGTTGAATATATGTGTTAAAAAAGAACTTAACACAACAGTTATAAGGTTGGAGGGAGTCTCGTGCAGCTGAATGGATCTGCTATTTGCAACAGCATGCATTCACATGCAAACACATCTCGTAGTTATGAGCAAATAGGAAGCTTCCAGTGCACCAAGAACCATGCAAGTGAGTATGCGGAAATGGGAATGGAGGGTAAGTACTACCTGACACTATGAGGTGCAGTAAAGCAAGTTAATAAACTTGTTCAGTATAGTACAATCTTTATATTTGTGTGGGCTACATTCCTGAACTAACTGTGGAAACATGCAACCATTGATACTTAGTAGGAGCCCTACTGAAATGAATAATGTGTTGCAGGAAATTACCATAGCCTCCCTGGAGGATCTAGAAAGTTTGTAGAGAAGACATAGTTTGTCAGGAGTGGATAGGTGAAACTATGTTGATCCCATGGGTATGGGGTTTATTACGTTAGTTTTAGAAAATTAGTTGAAATGAGATCACTACTATCTATACCTGACAATGCAATGTTTCACTACTACTACTAAGCACATGTATTTTTCTTTACACAATAATGAAAATTTTCTCCTCCATATTTCTTTCCCAGTTCCTTGGATATACAGATACACATATTTTTGTGAAGATTTCAGGGGAAACAGCAACAGATGCTTTATATGCTCTATTGCTTGCATAGCACTTAACTAAAATTGCCAAGTCCATTCTATTCCAGCCTGTATGAACAGATTTTTTATTCAGTTCACTGCATTCAAAATAAATCAACCCTATCCTTTTGAGATTTTTTTTTTTTGCTGAGACATTGTTGAATATAGTATAAAATACTTCATGAAGGGCCATGGTTGTAATTACCCAGAAGCAAGAGATATCGGCCTAACAGGTTCATACATTCAGCAGTATAGATTATTGGCTAGAACAATATTTGAAACCAACAATATGACCATAATTTCTAGGTTGGCATAGAATTTCTGATTTGTTATATGGTGTATTGCTTCTACTGGCATATGGTATGGCAATTTATCATTATTTTAAGCTAAATATAAAGCTGATAATGGAAGTAGATTGTCAGGAAGCACCTCAGGAAGTTATAAACATCATCACCATTAATAGCATCACTGGTTTCGCAGGCAATCAGGTGTTACCAGTTGGAGTTTTGGCCCATCAATGATTCAAAGTCCACTCGAGAATCTAGGATTCAATGAAGTTTAGTTTGGCATGTTCCAACTAGTGTCACTTTATGGAATTGTGCTGTTCTGACCTTATGCCTTCAGATGTTTTGTCAGTCAATGTTTAAACTGTATTTATATCCCACCCTTCCTCTAATATTTGTACTCGAGATGGCTATACTTGTTTGCTCACCAGGATCTAAAGCCATGTATGAGATATAAAACTTTAAAAAAGGTTTAACACCATTTGAAAACAAAGACAACATGACATTATACCGGTTTTAACTGCCCACTGGAAGTTCAAAGGAAATGGACCCTGCCTTTGGGAACGAATGAACAAGCAAGGCCAAATGGGGACTAAGCTCCCACAAATGCAAAATGCTACTCTAGATTGGAAATTCCCTTCACCTAGGGAACTTCTGTGGGGGAAGAAGAGGCTCTCCAGTGCGTAGACGTCAAGATGTGTCACCCCACTGCTCCTGCAGGGACTGACCTCTCCTGTGGCTTGCCAACTGGCTTCAAACTACCTCTTGGCAGGCTCAGGCCTCTCTGCTGCCTTCCCACACCAAGCTGTGTCTCATATCTGGGAACTAGAGGCATAAAACCAGTCCAGAATTAATCAGGCTTTTCTTGAGGTAAATCCAGGAAATGAGAGTCCTGGTTTCATTACTAATGGGGGCAGAATTCTATAATTGTGTTGCATGTTTCTTGTAAGGTTTTATGGTTAATTTTATCCTTTCATTGGTAACATTTGAAAAAGATTTCTTAAGCCCTGCCATGCCTCATCAAGATTCTCACTGTTTACCCCAGTGAAGACCTTTTTAGGTTTGTAATATTTTATGTGCAGTTTCTGGGAGGTCAGTCTAGACCAGGGGTCCTCAAACTATGGCCCGAGGGCTGGATACGGCCATCCAAGGAAATTTACCTGGCCCTCACTCGGGGTCAGCCTAAGTCTGAAATGACTTGAAAGCGCACAACAACAACAATCCTATCTCATCAGCCAAAAGGAGGCCTACACTTCCCACTAAAATACTAATAAGCTTATATTTGTTAAAATTGTTCTTCATTTTAATCATTGTTTTTCTTTAAAGTGTTCTTGCACTACAAATAAGATATGTGCAGTGTTCATAGGAATTA